CCTCTGCTTTACTTCTACCTGCTACCTCGCCCTCCTATTCCTTAACCTACTCACCCCTCCAGGAGTCTCTCCCTTGTCCTCTCCTCACAACCCTATCCGCTTGCCCTCTTATTTCTTTCTAAGACTTTTATACCCTTCTAGATACATATGTTGTTACTTCTTTAACCCATTCCCAATGAGAGTAAGATTCCAGGACTACCTTCCCTCCCCCCATTAGCTTCTTTGTATCAGTTTTTCCTTTATGCTTCATTTGTGTAAGGTAGTTTCTTCCTACACAGTTTTATTTCGTTAGAATCACCCCATCATACTCAGCTCAGCCCAAGCCTTTCTTTCAAACTACCCAAATAATGATGACAGTCATAAGAGTACTGCTAATATTTTCACATATAAGAAGTCAACAATTTGACTTTATTAAGTCCCTTATAATTGCTCTTTAATGTTTACCTTATATTTCTCCTGGATGTTATATGTTGAATTTCCCCTTGAGCTCTGCTGTTTTTGTCACAAATACCTGAAAGTCTTTTAGTTTGTTAAATGTCCATTTTATGGGGCACCTAGGTGGCACAGTGGATAAAACACTGGCCTTGGAGTCAGGAGGACCTGAGTTCAAATCCAGCCTCAGACCAAACACTTCACACTTACTAGCTGTGTGACTCTAGGCAAGTCTCTTAACCCCAATTGCCTCACCAAAACAAAAATGTCCATTTTATTTTCATTCAGGATTATACTTAAATTTGCTGGGTAAGTTATCCTTGGTCATAACCCCAGCTCTTTTGCTTTCTGCAATATAGTATTCCAATTCCTACTCATCCCCTTCAACATAGTAGCTGCTAGGTCTTGTGTAATCCTTATTGTACCTCCATGATATTTAAATTATTTTTTTTTCTCAAATTGCTTTCAATATTTTCTCCTTAACCTGGGAGCTTTGAAACTTGGCTGTAAAATCCTGTTAGTTTTCCCCTGGGATCTTTTTCAGGTGGTGATCAGTGGATTTTTTTTCTATTTCTGTTTTGCCTTCTTGTTCTAGAACTTAAGGGCAATTTTTCTTGATAATTTCTTGTAATATTATATCAAGATTCTCTTTTTTATCATAATTTTCAGGTAGTCTGACTATTCTTATATTATTTCTCCTTGATCTGTTCTCCAGATCGGTTGTTTTTCTCTGATGAGATGTTTCACATTCTCTTCTTTTTTTTTGTTCTTTTAATTTTGTTTTATTATTTCTTGGTGTCTTAGAACATCATTAGCTACCCTTTGTCCAATTCTAGTTTTCAAGGAATTATTTTCTTCCTTAAGTTTTTGATTCTCTATTTCAAGTTGGTTGACTTTCTTTTCATAATTTTCTTGGATTGCTCTTATCTTTTTAAAAATTTTTTCTTCAATCTCTCTTATTTGATTTTTAAAGTCCTTTTTAAGTTTTTCCAAGAACTCTTTCTGTGCTTGGGACCATTTGACTGTGGATCATTGTATTGATAAGAGTTGCTAAGTCTTTCACAGCTGATTATTCTTACAATGTTGTTACTGTGTACATTGTTGTCCTAGTTTTTCTCATATCAGTTCATATGAGTTCCCAGGTTTTTCTAAAACCATGCTCTTCATCATTGTGTACAAAACAATGGTATTCCAGCTAAAATATGATTTTTAAAAGCCTTCCTGTTCCCTTCTCAAACCTTCAGCAAGGATGCTGTCAATGCATGTGTAGAATATTCACATGAACATTTTGTACAGATGGGAAAGTAGCCATTTGGGTTGGTGGTCATGAACTTTTTTTTGGTAATAGTAATATCTGAGATCTTTTCCCAAGACTTTGAGATCCTTCTTCCATTGAAAATCAATCCCTCAACAAATTCTATCACATCCATCAAGGAGGTATGTATTGGTCTAGTCCAGCTTCTCTTCCCGTCTTTGTTTTCTTTAATGTCTTTCCTACTTCTTTATGCAGCATATCCAGGATCATGAAGATACATTCCAAATGTGGTGACTGCACTGTCTTTTACGGCAAGAAGTTTGTTCATTTTTACAGATCTTTCCCATTTTTTTGTTTGTCTTCCTTCCAGCTTCATCCTTAAGTGCCCTTGGGATGCCTTTGATTAGTTGGTTCTCTCATCAAGCTCTCTGTAAACCTGTTTTTCCCTCTGCTACTCTTGTTGTTTTATCAGGCAATTCTGATCTTAATCTTTTCTCATCTAAGTCTTCCAGAATTCATTCCCCCTCCTTCAGGCCCAGGGGAAATTAATCGGCTCATTTTTGGAGCTCTTTCCCTCGACACCAGGCCATGCTTTAGCTTTACGTTTCATCCAGTTATCCACCCAAGACACCTCATTCTGCCTTCCATTATTGACCTGCACTTCTCCACTGAAGCAGCATTCTCCATATTGGGCTTGAGACCTAGACCTTCACATACCCAGTTCTTCCAGAATCCATACCTCCAGTCCCTGAAGAAGTTAATACTAATTTTTGGAGCTCCAGACCTCAGACCCAATCCAAATGATTGGTATCTAGGTTTGTGCAAATTTGCCCACTTAAGCCCACTACAAATTTACAGGCTGTCTTTGGACATCAGACTAGGCTTTAGCCTCAGGTGTCATATAGCCTTCTATCCAGACCATTTTACCATCTGCCTGTGGCTGCTGACCTGTTCTACCCCCATCCCCTTTCTACCTCAATCCTTACTCTTGTCATTGCTCTCATATATGTGTTATTTCCCCTTATTTGAATGTAAGCTCCTTGAGGGTAGGGACTATCATTTAAAAAAAGTACTTAGCGCAGTGCCTTGTACATAGTAGGTTCTTTATAAATGCTTTTCATTCTTTCCCCTATTCTCACCCCCTCTTTCTTATAGCCTGATGTAGTGGAAATAGTCCTAGATTTGGAGTTAGACACCTAACTTTGTGTCCCAGCTCTGTCCCTTACCATTTCTGCAACTTTGGGCAAGTGAATAATCATATTTGCACAACCTACCACATGGGGTTGTTGTAGAGAAATTATTTATAAACCTTAAAGTATTATAGAAGTGGGAAGTATCCCATTGGAGATGATAATCCTTGTCTCAACTCCCTAACAAGGCTTTTGTGATAGAATGAGAAAATGTAATTGGAGAACACTACAAATGTGAGTCATTTTTTGCTTGTTTACTATTAGTATTCATATTTCAATATTTTCCATGGATCTGTAATCTTCCATCAGTGTAGATCATTGATCCATGCCTTCTTTTCCAGTTCTTGTCCATGTTCTCTCATAGATCCTTTAAATTTTTTTCCTTTTTTTGTTGTGAACTTAACAATCACCAACAAACACAAACATTCCAGTACACAAAGAACAAAAAAAAAGATTGTATATTAAACTATGAATTTCTGTTATGTACATTTTAAAAGTATGTATTAAATTTTAAATGGTAGTAACTATATTACTGTGTCCCCTTCTGAACTTTGTTTTCTTCTGTGTTTTCTGTTTTATTGATGTTTTCTTTTGGTGTCTGTCACTTCTCACTAACTCACACCCCACACGAATATATCAAAAGATCTCCCCAGTGAAAAATAAGTACAGTCACTCAAATGTATGGCACATTGGCCATATATAAAAATGCATGTCTCATTCTGTGCCTTTAGTTTATCATTGCTCTGCCAAGAAGGCATGCTTCATCATCAGTTTTTTGAAGTCATGATTGATCATTTCATTGATCAGGGTTCTGAAGTCTTTCAGGGTTATTTTCTTTTACATTATTTCACTCGTCAGGCAAATGGTTTTCATAATTCTGCCTATATCATTCTATCGATTCATAAAATCTTACCAATTTTCTTTGAATTCTTCATATTCATTATTTCTTGTAGTGCAGTAATACTATGTTCACATACCATCATTTGTTTAGCCATTCCCCAATTAATGGGCACCCTCTTTGATTCCAGCTATTTACTACCACAAAAATATACACATATATGTATATACACACATACATATATACAGTACGCATGTATATAGACATTGACATGTGTGCATGTACTCGCAACACATACATGTATACATACATGTATACACATGATACACAGGCATATGTATTCCACATGGATCCTTTCTGCTATTTACTTCTTTGGGGTGTATGCTTAATAGTGGTATTGCTAGGTAAAAAGTTTGTACAGTTTGGTTACTTTTGGGATATAACATATAATTCCAAAGGGTTTTCTAGAACTGTTTGTAGCTTCACCAGTGGTGCCTTAGCATGCCTGTCCTTCCACATTCCCCCTAACCTTTGCTGCATTCATCTTTTGGCAATACGATGGGCAAAGTGTGAAACCTCAAAGTTGTTTTAATCTGCATTTCTCCTTAGTAGTGATTTGGAATCCACAGAGCTTTCACAGAGGAACTCCCCTTCAACTTGGTGGTCTTATTGAGATCCCAATACTTTTATCCAACTACAGAGAAGTTAGGCACCCGAACAATAGCAGAATATTACATATAGGAGAATAATAGTAAGATAGTGGCTATTTCTATTTGAATTTCATTGAAAAAGATGAGAACAAGATGACTAACAATAATGATGTTATACTAGTTCAATGATGATGATGAAAAATCCTGGCTTTGCTACCTAGTGACTGTGTGCCTTGGACTAGTTTCTTTCTTCTGGGCCTCAGTTTCCCTAAATGCTACGATAAGGGGATTAGAGTATTGACTATGATCTTTAAGAGCCATGCGAAGATTGCCCCACTCGAATGAATGAATTGCCTTCAAGCTCAGGGGCAGGCGGGGATGTTCAGTTCTGAGAAGATTCCCCAGGGGGCGCGCTTCTCGGTTCTTCCAGTATCCCACAATAACCCAGGCGCTAAACCCTCCCTTAGGCGTTTGGACTTCCGCTGCCCCACCGCAGGGCAACCAAATCTATCCTGTGCGCATGCTCCATCTCTGTTGGAAGGAAGCTTGTCCCTCGACGCAGCCCATAAAAGAGTCCAGGACCGGGGGGGTGGGGGTGGGGGGGGTTGCTGGGAGACAGGAACCTCCTCGAGGTGATTGGGTAAATTCATATGGAGGTGGAGTTCGTGCGCCACGTGACTGGCCCGCGCGACATGGAGGAGCCGGAAGCGGATAGGAAGGTAGGAGTCGGAGCGGGGTGTTGGGTCTCTGTTTGCTTTTCCCGCGACTTTCCTTGCCCTCCCGGTGTTTTTCAGCAGTGCAGTCAGCCAGAAAAAGCCCCAGGGCCCCTGAAGGGACTGGTCGGTCCGCAAACACTCACTTTTCTCCTCTCCCCCAATTTTACCGGTGGGCAAACCGGGGCCCCGAGAGGGGAAGCGACTTTACCAGCATCACACAGCGCGCCCGGGGCAGAGCCGGGGTGAGACCCCTGGTCGGGCCGAATCCGGGGCTCTCCCTTCCCCTGCCTCTCCTCTCGGCCTCCCAGGACGGGAGCCTTTGAGCCTGAGCTTCTTACTTTTGCTTCGCAGGCCCCACAGGCTCCTCCTCCGCACGTTTTTAAATGCATAAAACGAAATGCTCAGGATTAGGAAGGATCTGGTTATACCGAAAAACAGTTATAGCCGTGTTCTGCCCTTTCGCGTTCAGGGATCCCAGGGGGGCCGCGGGCTAAGAGCCCCAACCCGGGGAAGAAGGGGAGGGCCTGGGACCTGCGAGGCGACTGCAACTCCCATTTCCCAAACATTTGGGGGGTTTGCAGAGTTTCTTCCTCTACAATCCATCAGGAAACACTTATCGAGCGCCCGCTGTGTACTGGGCACTGTCCTGGGAGGGCGGAAGAGGGAAGAGCCTGAACAAAGCGTAGAGATGGGAACCCCGGGTGGGGAATAGGCTGAGAGGGGGAGTGAGGAGAGGTGTTTTATTGTAGAGGGGAAGTTCTCAGCCCAGGGGGGTTGTGGTTAGATTTCAGGGGTCCTGGAACTTGGATATGGGGGGATTCTAACTGTTTTCTGTTTCCACTGACCTCTAATTGAAATTTAGCATTTTATACAGTTAAGAGTGTAAACTACAAATATTCTGAGAAGGGTTTCACCAGATTGCCAAAAGGGGTCCATGGCATAAAAAAGGTTAAGAGCTGTTGTTCATTCGTGATTTCACATGTATGCTTTTTCCAGTATAGCTTTATTTCGTTAAATATTTAACAATCATATGTAAAAGTTTTTTAATATTAATTTTTTTTGAAAATTGAATTTCAAAATTTCCCTCTTCCAACCATTGAGAGGGCAAGCAATGATACAATTGTTATAATTGATGATGTGGTACATTGATACTGTTGCTAATTGTATTTTTAAGATATAATTGATGTATTGCTTGCCTGCTGGGTGGGTAAAGGTGGGCACGGGAGGGAGAGAGAATTTGGAACTCAAAAAAATGTTTTTTTCAAATAATTTTTTAAATGAATGTTTAAAATTATTGTTTTTTTAAAAAGCTCTTCTAGAATTGTAGAGAGGACTGAAGTCTTTTGAGTAGGAGTTAACATTGTTACACCTGAGTCTTAGGACAATTATTTTAGCATTTGTGTGAAAGGTAGATTGTTGAAGGGAAAGACTGGATGTGAGGAAGCCGGATGAGAGGCTCTGTAACAGTCCAGGCAATGAGGTGACTATGATTAGAGGGGAGAGAGTAGCTATGAGAAATGTGAAAGTGGGATGGATACTTAATTGATTGGAGGGGCATGTATGAAGGAGTGTTCTTTGTCCTTCCTCAGGAAGGTGATGTCATGATTTGCAAGTAAATTGGATTTAAGTGAAAGAGGTCTGTGCAGAGTCACCAGCCTCACTCTGTCTTCCAGAGCCATGTGGGTCCAGAGGCAAGATATAAATCAGGACAACTGGAGATGGGCCCTGGATGTATTGGGAGACCTTGGCCTTTTTAAGCTAAAGTCTTTCCCAGGTCTAGTCTGACTGAGGCAATGCCCTTTCAGTGATTGAGGCTAGATAAGAAACGAGGCAAAAAAACAAAAACCAAAAATCAGTCTGGGAGGCAAAGACCCTCATGGTTTCTGGCCGAAACAGAAACAATTGCTATTGGGTTTAAGGAATAGTCCTTAAAAAAGAAATCTAGCCCATAAACCCCAAGGTATCTTGTAAGGTTTCAGAGATTAAAATTGATATTTCTTTGGGCAGAGCACCATCAGGTAAGGGTATGATTCCCCATAGGCACAGAGGGAAAGGAGGGAGGAAAGGAAGGATGGAAGGAATTGTGTTGCCCAATTAGAACTGGCCACTTGGGTCCCAGTGGGACAACTACTACTACTGACTGATCATTGTTTGTCCTTCGTTCCCAGTGGGACAACTACTACTACTGACTGATCATTGTTTGTCCTTCGTTCTCCAAGAGAACCATGACATCAGGAAGGTGAAGTCATGACTTGGAAGTGAATTGGATTTAAGTGAGGGAGGGCTGTGCAAAGTTGGCAGCCTCACTTCCTCCTCCAGGGCCATCTGGATCCAGTAGCTAGACATAGATCAGGATGACTAGAGATGTGCCCAGATGAAGTAGGAGACCTTGGCCTTTTTTTCTGTGTGAAGGAGAGAGAAGAATCAAGGATACTAAGGTTGTGAACTTGAGTGACTGAAAGGACAGTGGTGCCCCCAACAGAAACAGAAAAGTTATCATTAGGGGCAGGTTTAGGGAGGAAGATCATTGAAGGAGTGGTCAGAAAGGTGGGAGGAAAATCAGGAGAGGACAGTGACATGGAAGCCAAGGGGAGTAGAGGATACCAAGGAAGAGGTTTGGGGGAGGGGTCCCACTGTATAAAATATGGAAGAGAAGTCAAGTAGTTGAAAAACTTGGGGAGGAAAACCCACCGTTGTATTTGGTGAAAAGAAGGTCAGTATTAAACTGGAAGAGTTGTTTCAGGAGGATAGTGAAGTTGGAAGCCAGGTTGCTAGGAATTAAAACAGGAAAAAATGCAACAAGTGTTTATACACCCACATACACATACACACCTTTGAAGAAGTTCGACAGCACATGTATTTCTTGCCTTCTCAATGGGTTGGAGAGGGAGAAAATTTGGAACTGAAAATAAAATTTAAAAATTAAAAAAAAATTAGAAGAGGTGAGGCAACATCTAATGAAAAGGTTCTTTACCTGTGGTTTTTTACTTGTTTAAAAATATATATAAATAAAAATAAAATTGCATTTTCAAGATAGTTTCCTATATATTTTATTTTATGCATTTAAAAACATTATTCTTAGTTTCATCAGACTTAGAAAAACTGCCCAAGGGGTCCAAGACACAGAAAAGATGAAAAAATTCTGTGCTACTGGATTGGGATGAACAAGCCTTAGATTGTAGCCCCAACTTTTGAAGTCTTTGAATTTGGGGAGCTTATTTCCCCTCTCTTGGTCTGTTTCCTTTTCTGTAAAATTGAACAAGATGATCTATCAGGACTTTTATAGCCCCTAATTTCTGATCCAGTGATCTTTCCCTGCCTATGAAGTGTGCATCCTCCCTTGTCAATAATAATGATTCACATTTCTTTTGCACATCATTGTTAAAAAGCACTTTCTTTGTGAACAGCTTTTCAGTATAATACCAGTTTTCTGAAAAGCATAGCACAGGCCTGACCATGTCACTGCCTTGTTCAAAAAGCTTCAGTGGTTCCCCATTTTCTCCAAGATAAAATATAAATTACTCTGGCATTTAAAAGCCTTCACAGTTTGTATCCAACATGTCTTTCCAGGCATATTCCACATCCCCCCTCATCACTCTCCTCAACCCGAGCCACCACCCCCCTCCCCAGCTCTGAGGTTCCAGCCCAGTTGGTCTGTTGGCTTTTTCCCTGACAAGATCTGGCTCTCATCTGGCTCTCTGCCTTTGCTCTGTCTGAAGTGTCTGAAATGTTCTCCTGCCTCACCTCCAGCTCAGTCAAGCGTCACCTGCATGAGGACTTTCCAGATCCCTTCTATTGTTAACGTTGCCCACCATCGCCCACATGACTTTAAATGTTTTTCACATTTACTCATTTGTACATCGTGTTGTCCCCGTGTCAGAATGGAAACTCCTTGGGAAGAGGGACTGTCTTCATTTTTTCGTCTTTGGATCCTCAGAGCCAAGCATAGTACATGGCACAGGAAATCTGCATTTAGTAAATGCTTGTTGAACTGAATTGAATTGAACCAGTTCCAAGTCCTGGGTTCATTTTGCTCCCTCACACTCCTCCTGCCCATTATCTATGTGACCTGTCACTTTCTTCAGAGGCCTCGAGAGGAGGAAGATGACACAGCAGAAGGCCTGTCAGAAGATGAGGACTACGTGCCTTATGTGCCCGTCAAGCAGAGAAAGCAGCAAATGGTAGGGAGTAAGATAGGGTGGAGAGGAGGTTTGCTGGGATGGTTTAGGGGTGCTGGTGGGAAGGGATGTTCCCAAGGCCCATGGAAGGAGGAGGGGGTGAGAAATCTCAGCCTTCCCAACTTGCTGAGGCTGCTGGCCCCTGGGCTCACTCCTGGGTCCCTTCTGCAGCTACAGAAGTTGCTACAGATGCGACGGAAGGGAGCGGTGGAGGAGGAGCAGAAAGACAGCGGCAGTGAGCCCCGGGGAGATGAAGATGACATTCCACTGGGCCCCCAGTCCAATGTCAGCCTCCTAGACCAGCACCAGCACCTGAAGGAGAAGGCGGAAGGTAGCATGGTTGGGGTGTGAGCCTGCTGGGGGAGCTGCCCCAGGCTTCTAAGAACAGGAGGGAGAAGGGAAGGAGCAAAAGCAGGGCCTAGTGTGGGCAGCAGGAGCCCCCTTTGGGATGGGTCTTCATTCTCCTGCTCCAGGAGTCATTTCCTTTCTGCCTTGAGCAGACCCTTATGTCTTTAAGTGGAGGCTCTTTTTTGGATAGGGGATTTCTGCCCAACTAGTAGTTGGATTAGACAGTCTCTGAACTCTTAAGATTGCTGGATGAGGGACTGCCTTGGGCTCAGGGCCTGGCTTACAGGTTCCCTCTGACTTATTCCCCAGCCCGGAAAGAGTCTGCCAAGGAGAAACAGCTGAAAGAGGAGGAGAAGATCTTGGAAAGTGTGGCAGAGGGCCGAGGTGAGTCCAGCGGGACACCAGGGCTACTTTTCCAGGTCAGGGCATTTTTTTTTATTTTTGTGGTAAGGCAGTTGGGGTTAAGTGACTTGCCTGGGGTCACACAGCTAGTGTCAAGTGTCTGAGGCCAGATTTGAACTCAGGTCCTCCTGACTCCAGGGCCTGTGCTCTATCCACTGCACCACCTAGCTGTCCCAAATTAATATTACCTTTGACTTCTACTATATTGATTTTACAATGTAATTGATTTTATGCTGTGTAAATTTTTGGGGGAGGTTAGGCAGTAGGGTTAAGTGACTTGCCCAGGGTCACACAGCTAGTAAGTGTTAAGTGTCTGAGGTCAGATTTGAACTCAGATCCTCCTGACTCCAGAGCCAGTGCTCTATCCACTGCGACACCTAGCTGCCTCCATATTTCCCAGGAATGGACACTGACCAGGTTGGGACAGCTAGCTCCCCTAGGTTCCCCAGGTACCCAAGGCCAAAGGGGCTGATCCCTTAAGGTCTAGACCTTGAAGGGGGAACAAGGAATTGGAAGCCTTCTGTAACATTGCTTTGTTTGACCTTAGCTCTCATGTCCGTGAAAGAGATGGCGAAAGGAATCACCTATGATGATCCCATCAAAACCAGGTACTAGAATCCAGAGTCATAGGACCTGAAAGCTGGGAAGGACCTCAGTGGCCTGCCAGCCCAGAAGGAATCCCTCCTACAACTTAACAACAAGTGATCATCCAGCCTCTGCTGGAAGGCATCCAGGAAGGGGGACCTGCCCCCTGAAGGGCAGCCCCTTCTACCTCGGGACCCCTCTGATTGTTAGGAAGCGTTTTCTGAAGTCTAATCTAAATCGGACCCTTTGCTATCCTAGCCATCACTGCTCCTGCTTCTGCTCTCTTGGGCCAAATGGAACACAACTAATTTCTTTTTCATGTGACAGCCCTTCAAGTACCTGAAATCATGACTCCTCCGAGTCTTGTCTTCTCTACTCTGAGCATCCCTAGTTCTTTCTTCATATGACCTGGCCTCGAGGCCCTTCCCTGTTCGGGTTTTCCTACTCTGAACACTTTCTGGCTTTAAAAGGGTCACCTTCTTAACCTGTTCTTCCCACGGTGAGACTGTCGCCTCCCTATTCTTGGAAGCTGCGCTCCTTCCTCTCAGTGCAGCCCGAGGCCATGTTGGCTTTTGGGGCTGACACATATTGAGCTTGCAGGGCACTAAAACTCCCAGATGTTTTTCAGACAAACTTCTCTTTATCTGTTTCTCCTCCATCTCGTATTTGTGAAGTCAGTTTTTTTGTGCCCAAGTCGAAGAGTTGTCATTTATCCTGATTGAATTTTATTAGCTTCAGCGCAGTGTCCTTTTGGGTCCTGATGCTTGTTATCTAGTGTTTTTCCTGTCTCTCCAGCTCAGTGTCATCTGCAGATTTTGGGGTGCATCTATGGCTTTATCCAACAAGTTGTGCCTTGAGATGGTAGCACACTGGAGGAAAAGAGGCTGGAATGGGGGGTCACAGGAGTTTAGGGTTGAGCTGTAATTGGGGTAGACTGGATGACTTGAGGCTCCTCACAGCTCTGATGTGTGATGCAATATTCTGCTCACTCGGTGATACTAGGCAAGTCATTTCATCTTTCTTGAACTCCAGTATCCAGATGGGGATAACAATACCACCAAGCAGTGTTGTTGTGAGCACAGCGCTTTTGTAAATTGGAAAGTGATCTGGAAATGAGTATTGTTAGGTTTTTATGGTTGAGGATCACCTTGAAGGGCTGGGGATGAAGAGGCTTAAGGGGAGGGTGATGGATGTTTAAGGAAAAGATCAGCTCCTAGCAGCTGGCATCAGTGCCAAGTCTGGACAGCCACTCAGGGCTCGATGTGCTAGTCAGTAAAGAACACTGATGGAAATGAAGAAGGAGAAGGCCAGCCATAGCCCCACGCCTCAGGGACCTCGCTCATGGGATGAGAAAGGTCTGGCTTTGGGGCTCAGGTCAGCTGACAGGAGAACCCCCAGCTCGTGCCCAGGGGCATCACCCAATTCCCTTGGTACCCTCTTACACAGTTGGAAGGCCCCTCGATACGTGCTGAGCATGTCTGAATCCCGGCATGACCGTGTTCGCAAAAAGTACCACATCTTGGTGGAAGGAGAGGGGATTCCGCCCCCCCTCAAGAGCTTCAAGGAAATGAAGTTTCCTGCAGGTAGATTTCTTTTTCCTTCTTTTCTCCATGTGTGGAAACATATAATATAAACATATAGGGCCCCTACCACATATTCTGATGTGCAGTGGTGTCCCTGGGCGGGTAGGTCTTCCCCATGATCAGCAGTCACACTGACTTGATATGTGTAGCCTGTGGATGGCTTGCTGCCTACCCAGGGGCAGGGGCTACTTCACGCTGGGGCATGATCTGGACTTCTGCTGTTCTGTCCACAGCCATTCTGAGGGGCCTGAAGAAGAAGGGAATCCACCAACCCACCCCCATTCAGATCCAGGGCATCCCTACCATGTAAGTGTGACCCCTTCTTCTAAGTGGTCCTGGCGAGAGACTCGCCAGATGTGAAGCTTGGAAGACTTGATCACCTGTGAGACTTAGGAGATAGTGCCCAGAGGCTCTCCTTGTTGGGTCTGACTCACAGGGTCACTTTCCTCTACCTTCTCCCTTCTTCTCTCCTCCTCTTTTCCTCTGTAGCCTTTCTGGCCGTGACATGATTGGCATTGCTTTCACTGGCTCTGGCAAGACATTAGTGTTCACTCTGCCTGTCATCATGTTTTGCCTGGAACAGGAGAAGAGATTGCCATTCTCCAAGAGGGAGGGGCCCTATGGGCTCATTATCTGCCCTTCGGTAAGTAGGAAGGATGGCTGGGGTGGGGTGGGGGATGCTCCTGAGAAAATGCCTTGCTAAGTGGGCTGCCCTGGTGAGAACCCTGACAGGGCCACTCCTGAACAGTGTAATAGGTGCAGCCTCGCACAAGGCCCACCAGGCTCTACCTGTCTCTTGTTGCTCATAGCGAGAATTGGCCCGTCAGACCCACGGGATCTTAGAGTATTACTGTCGGCTACTGCAGGAAGACAGCTCGCCACCCTTACGCTGTGCCCTCTGCATTGGGGGCATGTCAGTCAAGGAGCAAATGGAAACCATCCGGCAGTAAGTACGGCCATCCTAGCCTCTGGCAGTGCCTTCTGCTCCCTCCTGTGCCCTTCCACGGCCACTCTCTGTCAGGCCAGTCACAAGCCCTCCACCCCCATATCTTGAATCTATTGATCCCCCTTTCCTGTACAAGCATTTGCACTGTTATATCAGGTCTTGGATGTGCTAACTCAGACTAGACTTTTTCCAGCTGTGGGAGAGGATGCAGTCATGGAGTGAGTGATGTCCCTGGAAACCAGTTGGGAGGTTGTTCCCTTCTGCACATCTGGTTCCTGGATCAGCCCTCGGAGCTGGGCCTGGCCTTCCTCATCTCCCAGCTGGGCTCCCCCAGGCCTGGGCCTGGGCTCTGAGTCATTTCTTCCTTTGCCTTTTGGCATGTGCACCTAATCTAACTCAATTAGTAGTGGTCATTGACTGCCTAGGCAGAGTCCTGTGGTTCTCATAGTCCAGAGGAAAGACTGATCCTGCCTCATGCCTTTGATCCTTGACTTTAGCTTCTGTTCATTTCAGTTAGCATCTATTAAGTTCCTGCTGCATACAGAGCATTGTGCTAGGCACTGGGGGTACAGAGACAAAACAATCTCTTCCCTCTCCAGTGGAGTGCACATGATGGTGGCCACCCCTGGGCGTCTCATGGACCTTCTGCAGAAGAAGATGGTGAGTCTGGACATCTGCCGCTACCTGGCCCTGGATGAGGCTGACCGAATGATTGATATGGGCTTTGAGGGAGATATCCGAACCATCTTCTCCTACTTCAAGGTGCCTTACCCAGAGACCTCTCCTCACAATTCCCCCCCCCTTTCCAGCCTTGGCCCCACCAAGAGTCTTGGCTCGTGGAGAAATCTCTCCTTTCCCTCTCTTTTGTGTTTCTTCGCCCCGGTACCACCTCAGCTCTCTCCTTCACTCCTTCAGGGTCAGCGACAGACGCTGCTTTTCAGTGCTACCATGCCCAAAAAGATCCAGAACTTTGCTAAGAGTGCCCTGGTAAAGCCTGTCACCATCAACGTGGGCCGGGCAGGCGCTGCTAGCCTGGATGTCATCCAGGTACAAGGGGCAGACTTCCACATCAGCTTCTCCCTCAGCTGGAGACAGTCCCAGTGTTGAGGTTTGAGTAGTCATCCCCCATCCCCCATCTCTACACACCCACAGCTGCTCTAGCCAAGCTCAGGAAATTGAGTGAAACAATGTGTTTCTTATTTGCCAACTTCCTGCCCACCAGAAGGTTCCCTGGGCTTGGCCAGCCTTGGCTCTGGGCAGGACAGACTTCCCGTGGCCCAACAGGGGTCTGACCTGGATCCCCCTCTCTGTGGGGAGGGCTTTTTTGTCACCCGAAGCTTGGGAAACCTGAGAGCCACCAAGGTGATGGCAGCTCAGTTCAGCAAATAATTGATCAGTCAGTGTCTGCCGCTGGGAGAGACACAGCTTAGCTAGGACATGGCCCTTGCCCTCATGTGACTTAGTTTAGTTGGGAGATTTTATAGATATGACATTGTCTTTCCCTGTCCCAAGGCCCACTGGCAGAGGACTGGGCCCTGTGAGAGGGGACGTGAGGGTCCTGGTCAGCCTGGACTCTGATATTCTTTTCGGGGTGGGGATATGCAGGAGGTGGAGTATGTGAAGGAAGAGGCCAAGATGGTGTACCTTCTGGAGTGTCTGCAAAAAACACCCCCACCAGTGAGTCTGCTTGCTGCCCCTTCATAACCTACCGGGGGCAGGGGGAGTGGGAAGGATGGGCCCTACCAGCAGGGGAGAGGGGTCATCCTTGTGGGAGGAGATGGAGCGTGGTTGGTAAGAAGACTCCCTGGGGCTCAGAAGCCAGGCATAGCAGGAGAATGGTTCCGGGTTCTGCCCCCACACTGGCGCTGGTTAGGTCTAGGTGTGATATGTGATGCTCATCGGGGCAGGTGCTGATCTTTGCAGAGAAGAAGGCAGATGTGGACGCCATCCATGAATACTTGCTTCTCAAGGGCGTGGAGGCTGTAGCGATCCATGGAGGCAAAGGTGAGTGGAGAGGAGCCAGGATAAAAAACTTCTCCTATAAAGGCTACTTCTGACAAGGGGGCTGCTCTGACAGGATTAGTCAGTGGTCAGTAAACATTTATTAAGCACCTACTATGTCAGACATGCTGGGGATACATGTAAGAAAAAGAAAGACAGTCCCTGTCCTCAAGGAACTTACAATCTAATGGAGGAAGACAATGTATGAGAGAAAGCAGGGAAAGGGGATGGGAGCCCCTGGTGTGGGGCATGGTCATGAAGTCAAAACCGAGCAAAGCAGCTGAAAATGAAGACCACTGTGGCTGGAAGGTGAGGCCTCCTGGCAGCTGAGAAGAGCTGGTGCCCAGAGTTTCATTTGTCCCCTTTAATCCTTTTATCCTTTGGGCTGCAGTTAGTTTTTCACTTTGCCCTCTCTTCTTATCCTAGGTCCCACCCTTGTTCCCATCCCTGACCCTGCTTGGCCATAGCTAACCTTTGGTTCTCCTGACTCAGCCCCAGCGCTGTCCCCTCCCTTCTTCCTCCAAGCCTTGACATCCCTGCCATCTTCCCTGTTCCTTCCAGATCAAGAAGAACGAACCAAGGCCATTGAGGCATTCCGGGATGGGAAGAAAGATGTCCTAGTGGCCACTGATGTGGCCTCCAAGGGCCTGGACTTTCCAGCCATTCAGCATGTCATCAACTACGATATGCCTGAGGAGATTGAGAATTATGGTGATGAACCAGGGAGTGGGGAGACTTGGGGCTGGGCTCCTGACTTCCACCCTCAGGGGACGGGGCTTTGGTAGGATTCTGTGGTCACCTGTCTCTGAACCTTGTCCCTTCTCTACCCTCTTCTTTCTCAGTTCATCGAATTGGCCGGACAGGGCGCTCTGGGAATACAGGCATCGCCACCACCTTTATCAACAAGGCCTGTGGTGAGTGTGTAGCTCGGGAGGGGAGGGATGGGACTCTAGGAGGCATCTTGGGCCAGGTGTGGTGGAGCCTGAGGAGGCGGTCCTGGCAGGACCCTGGGGTCTCTTGTGTGGGGTGATGGAGGCTCCTGTGACTCAGGAGACCCCCCCCCTCCACTTACTATTCTTGTTCTTTATTAGCTGTGTCCTGGCCAAGTGACCAAGTCTTTGAGGTCATCTCATAGAACGTTTGATAAGAGCCGTATCACTGTGTACATCAGGGGTTTTGTGGGAAATACTCTGGAGGATACAAAAAACTATTTTTAGTGTCCAATCCAGACAACTCACTTAAGATAAGCAGAAGTCGAGGCTCACAGAGATGAAAACAGGCCCAGGGTCCCCCAGAGCCGGGACCAGAACCCCAGGCTCCCAGAACTGGTCCCTGTGTCAGGCAGATCCCGGGGTGGGCATTGTCCCAGGGGTCCATCTCTGGCTGACCTGAGCCTGATGCTTCTTTCTCTGTTTTCTATCTTAGACGAGTCAGTACTTATGGATCTCAAAGCCCTCCTGCTTGAAGCCAAGCAGAAGGTGCCTCCTGTGCTGCAGGTCCTCCACTGTGGGGATGAGTCCATGCTGATCATTGGAGGTGATGCCTGGATCGGGGCTGGGGTGGTGTCCAGGGCACCCGTGGTCATTATGGCTGTTCTTAGCATGGCTGCTGTGTGGGCCCTCTGGGGAGTCTTGGACGTACTCCTGGGCTTTGTTGGGAGAGGAGTGGCCTTAGGGTTTGGTGACCTCTGAGGTCTCTTCCAGCTCTAAATGTCATCATCCTTTTCTAGGAGAGAGAGGCTGCACCTTCTGTGGGGGTCTGGGCCATCGCATCACCGACTGCCCCAAGCTGGAGGCCATGCAGACCAAACAAGTCAGCAACATTGGCCGCAAGGACTACCTGGCCCACAGTTCTATGGACTTCTGAGCCCCCCCCTCCCCTGCAAGGTTGGAGCCAGAAGACCAGGTGCCAGCAGCCCTCTAGGAGAGACCACCTGGATTCTCTGCTTGGGCTGGCCCTACCCTGCCCCTAGAGGGGGCAGAAGACCTGCTGTCTTCCACCTTTTCATCTTCTCCTCCTCTGGGGGTGCCAGCTGTTAAATTAGAAGGACTGAGCTCACGTCTAAAATGTTTTAAGCGCTGCAAAGCACCTTTCTCCAAATAACCCTATGAAAAGGTAGTGGGAAGGAGTGTTAGCCCCATTTTACTAAGAAAAAACTCTGAGACTTTGATCCTCTCAGCTGGAAATGTCAAAGCTAGGATTTGAACCTAGGTCCTCTGGCTCCATGCTACATCTCAGTGTGGAATTCAGTACTTCGTGTGTTCTGGCTCTGTCACTGGCCATGCACAGAAGCCTTCTCCTCTCCTCCCCCACTCCTACCGCTCAGCCTCACCTTCATGCCCTGGAAAAGCAGGCTGAGACAAGTACCCGTTTCAAACTCTTGGCCTAGGCTGTTGTGCAATCCTTCCCTGTTGTGACTTCTTGTTCCTCTTCCCCATAGGCTCCACCTTGGTCAGGTCCAAAACTAGTGGGAGCAGATGCACATTTCCTAAGTTGTAGGGTAGCCCGCTGTGTGGGTCTCTTCCTGGGCTCCTGCTTGCCTATCTCCCAGCCTCTTATTTCTCTTTCCTAAACTCTGTCCCCTCCCCAAGGACCATAACTAGTAGGTGGAACAAGCCTAGAAAATTGTGGGGTGAGGGAAGGCAGGTTGGTTTCTGCTTTTAAGTGATGTTTCCTGTCCATTCTATTATAACTTATAGCATTTAGCCTCATACCATTTGCCTCCCAAATCTTTCCATAAAGTTGATTGTAGGAGTGAGGGTTGAAAAGTCCCATGAGTCCCAGAAGAGGAGGGCCAGGGCCTGCTTGACAGTCCCCTTTCTTGTAGCCTCCTAGGCCAAGTCTCTTTTTTAAAATAAATTTTTATTGATAGTTCTTGTTTTTATGTCACTTAAATTTTCCTCTATGTTTTTCTGTTTCCCCTTTGCCAAAGAGCTATCTCTTATAACAAAGATTTTTTTTTTCAAAGAAAAAATCAAAATTGATCAGTGCATCAGAAAAATCTGACATTATGTGCGACATTATGTGCGGTGTCCCACAGCCATGTTCTCTACCTTTAGAGGAGTTGGAGGGAGGGCCTTTTCTCATATTTCTTTATAATATTGAAATATTCATTTTGACTGGTTTATGATCATGATTCTTTCCATCTGTGTTGACATAGTCTTTGTGTATACTGTTTTCCTTACTTCTCTGTATACATATTTGTCCTTTCTCTTAGTACAGTCATATTCCATTACATTCACCTACCATAATTTGTTTAGCCATTTCCTAATTGTTGGGCATCCCCTTTGTTTCCAGTTGTTTGCTGCCCCCAAAAAATGTTGCTATGAATATTCTGGTGTCTATGGAGCCTTTTTGTCAGTGACCTCCTTTGAGTATGTGCCTGGCAGTGGGATCTCTGAGTCAAATGTTATAGAGATTTTAGCCGCTTGATTTGCATAATCCCCATTTGGGTTCCACAATGGTTGTACTAATTCTCAGCTCCACCAAAATGTATCACTGTGCCTATCTTCCTACAACCCCTCCAACATGAATTATTCCCATCTTTTGTTATCTTGGCCAATTTACTGGATGTGAGGTGAAACCTTAGGATTGTTTTGATTTGCATTTCTCTTATTAATGATTTGAAGCATTTTTTTATATGGTTGTTAATAGTTAGCATTGTTTCTCCTGAGTAAACTGTTTATATCCTTTAACCATTTATCTGTTGGGGAGTAGCTTTGGGTCTTATGTATTTCTGTTACATATATGTGTACACACACACACACACACACACACACACTCACACATAATATTGAATACTAAACTCTTATTGGAGAAATTTGATTAAAAAAAAAAGACTTTTTTCCAAGAGGTAAAACTATCCCTGTTTGCTGATGCCGTGATTGTTCACTTAGAAAATTCTAGGGAATCAGTAAAGAAATTAATTTGAGACAATAGCATCCGTCAAAGTTGCAGGCTACAAAATATATCCATAAAATCAACAGTATTTCTATAGAATGACAACAAAATCCAAGAGGCAGTAATAGAAAGGGAAATTCCATTCCAAGTAACTACATAATGCATAAAACATTTGATTCAGCCTATCAAAGCAGATTCAATTCTTGTATAGATTTAATTACAAAATGCTCTTTAAAGAAATAAAGAACTTAGCTGGAGGAATATTCAGTGCCCATAGCTGGGCTAGGCCAATATAATCAAACTAAAAATATGACCAAAGTGAATTTATCATTTTAATGCCATGCCCATAAAACTTCCAAAGAAATATTTTACCAAGTTAAAGGAATATTTAAAACATTTTTTTTAATTAAGCATTTTCCCACCTTGCAATGGGAACAAAAGAAAGACAAAACTTTGTAGCAAATATGCATAATCAAGCAAAACAAATTTCCGCATTAGCCATGTCTAAAAATGTATGTCTAGGGGCAGCTAGGTGGTGCAGTGAACAGAGCTGGAGTCAGGAGGACCTGAATTCAAATCCAGCCTCAAACACATAACACTTACTAGCTGTGTGACTGTGGGCAAGTCACTTAACCCCAATTGCCTCACCAAAAACAAAACAAAACTAAAAAACTGACCATAAGAATGTATGTCTCATCCTGCATCTTGAGTCTGTCACCTCTCAGTCAGGAGGTGGCGAGCGTCCTTCATCATTGGTCCTCTGAGATTATGGTTGATCATGTTGATCAGAGTTCTTGAGTTTTTCCAGAATTGCTTGTTTTTACGCTGTTGGTGTTATAGTACAGTATTCTGGTTTTACTCATTTCACTGTGGATCAGTTTATATAAGTCTTCCCACATTTCCCTGAAATCTCTTAAAATTTGTTACAGCGCAATAGTATTCCATTACACTCACAAGCCATAACTTCTTCATTCCCCAGTTGATGAGTACCCCCTTATTTTCCTTGTACTTTAACTCTACAAAAAGAGCTATTATAAATATTCTTGTATTATGGGTCATTTTCCCCACTTTCTAGATCTTTTTGGGGTATAGGCCTGGTAGAGTTATTGCTAGGTCAAAGCTCCTGCACAATTTAGTGACTTGACGCATAGTTCCAAATTACTTTCCAGAGTGGCTATGCCAATTCATGGCTCTACTTAACAGTATCTATCAATAAACATTTATTAAGCAGCTACTATATGCTAGGCTTTGTGCTGTCCTCCCACAAACTCTTCAACAATAGTCATTTTCCTTTTTTGTCAACTGTCAGTCTGATGGTTGTGAAGTGTAATCTCAGTTGCTTTCATTTGCATTTCTTTATTAGTAATGTGGAGCATTTTTTTCATGTGTTTAATTGTTAGCTTGGATTTCTTTTTATGAGAACTGCCCATGAATATATTTTGATTATTTATCAATCAAGAATGGCTCTTAATGTTGTAAATTTGAATCAGTTCCTAATATATCTTAGAAATGAGACCTGTATCAGAGAAACCTATGCAGGGATGTTTTCCCATTTAACTGTTTCTCTTCTAATCTTAGCTGCATTGATTTTGTTTATGAAAAAAACCTTTTTATTTGTAATAATCAAAAGTATCTGTCTTATCTTCTGTGATCCTTTATATCTTTTGTTTGGTCATGAACTCTCCTCCTTTCCAAAAGGTAATTCTTCCTTGCTTTTCTAATTTCTCTAATGTGACCTTTTATATCTATGTCTTGTACCTACTTGGAGCTGATATTGGTATGCAGAGTGAGGTGTTGGCCCAACCTTAATTTCTGCCAGGCTGCTTTCCAGTTTTTCCAGCAGTTTTTGTCCGTGACCTGGGGGTTGGGGTCTTTGAATTTATCGTACACTACATTGTTGTGTTTGTTTGCTTTTGTTATGTTGTGCCCCTAAAGCAGGGGTAGGGAACCTGCAGCCGTGAGGCTACGTGTGGCCCTTTAGGTCCTCAAGTGAGGCCGTTTTACTGAATCCAAACTTCACAGAACAAATCTCCTTAATAAAAGGCTTTGTTCTATAAAACTTGGACTCGGTCAGAAAGCTGAACCCAAGGACCTAGAAGGCCACATGTTCCCCACCCCTAACCTAAACTGTTCCACTAATCAACTTTTATTTTTTAGCTGGTGTCAAATAATGTTGATAATTATAGTTTGAGATCTGTGCTGCTGGGCCTCCCCCCCCCCGTTTTTTTTCACAGTTTCCCTTGAGATTCTTCACCTTTATTGCTTCACATGAATTTTTATTTTTTTCTAGCTCTATAAAGTAATCATTTGGTAGTATAATTGGTATGGCATGAATAATTAAGTAATATTGTTATTTTTTTTTTGGCTCAGCCCACCTATGAGCAATTGATTTTTTTTCCTAATTATTTAGGTTTGTCTTTCTTTCCTTAAAGAGTGTTTTGTAGTTGCATTCATACAGTTCCTGTGTATGTCATGGTAGGTAGGGTCCCAGATGTTTTATACATTATGTAATTATTTTAAGTGAAATTTCTCTTTCTATCTCCTCCTGCTGGGTTTTGTTGGTAGTATACAGAAACACAATGATTTATGTGGGTTTATTTTACATACGGGTACTTTTGCCAGATAAAAAATTAATCTGGAAGAATAAAAGATCTGGAATATCAAGAAAAAATATTTTAAAAATTTTTTAAAAGGTAGTCAGGAAGGAGAAATAGCACTTGTGTCTGGAGTCTTTACTAAATACCGAGTAGGCTACCAGACCAGAATTTGGGAATTTGAAGCTGATAGGGTCCCTAAAAACCATCTCATTCACCCCTCTCATTGATGAGAAAAACTGGGGCGCAGAGAGTGGAAGTGACTTGTCCAAAGACACATAAGAGCTGAGACAGAAGTTAGACACAGGTTCTCTGGCCGCAGATCCAGTGTTCTCTCTCCTGAACTCAGCTGCCTTCCATTTGCTCAGATTTCAGGGACAGACACACCTACATAAGAATGGTCATTCTTTGAACAAATGGGCTCCACACACCTTGCAAGGCCAAGAGAGGATATGTACCAGACAGAGATGATCCCTTATGGAACTCAGTGTTTAATTTCAATGCTACTTTCCATTTCCCTAATGTCAAATAGCCTCAAGAGGCAAGTAATGTATTCTCATTTTACAGAGAAGGAAAACTGAGGTACGGGAGGGCAAAGCATTTGCACAAGGCCACAGGATGAGTAACAGAATCAAGACTCAAAACTAGGGATCTGTAACTTCCCAGGGGGCTTTGATGGAAGAGGAATTCAGAAAAGGGGGAGCTGATGAGGCTGGAATGCTCAAGGAAGGCTTGCTGGAGGAGGTGAAAATTGATCTGGAGATCAAAGGATGGCTAAGATATAAATATAAATAGGGAGGGCATTGGCAGAACGGTGTGACCAAGAGCACAAATGGACAGAGTACCCTAGTGGAAAGAGCCTTGGGTTTGAAGTCCAAAGTCCAGCTTTGCTACTAATGTCATCTTGAGCAAGTAAGTCCCTTTTCTCTGACCCTCATCTTAATCCTCTCTGACATGAAGGAGTTTGCTGGAGCACTGAGGCACAACCTTTTTTTTTTTTTGGTAGTGTGGGGCCAGGGATGCTAGGTTCAGAATCAACTCTAGGTTTGTGGGTTTTTTGTTTTGTTTTGTTTTTACTTTTTCTTTGTTGTGGGAGAGGACTGGTCAGAGAGGGGGACATATCTGAAGATGACTGACAGAAACATGACTTCCTTTTAAGATATCTTTAAAATAAATATGGAAAAAATATTTAAATTGTAGGCAGAGGAGAGGGCAATGTTGAGTAATGGATAGAGTGTTAAACTTAGGAGTCAGTGAACACCTGGATTGAGATCCTGTCTTTACTAGTCATGTGACCTGGAGCAAGTCACTTAACTGCCCTTTGCCTCAGTCTCCTCATCTGTAAAGTGGGGGTAATGCCTGTATTAATGATATATGGTTATTGAGAAACTCAAATGAGGTAATGTATATAAAGTGATTTGCAAATTTTAAAGCCTTATAGAAATGGTGGTTATTGTTAGACAAATCCTCTTTAGCTCTTTGATCTTAGACATAGAGTAGTTGCTTCTGCCGCCTCTTCTTTTCTAACTCGTGGGAGGGAGGATGGGGAGAAGCAGGAAGGGACGAAGATGAAGCCTATGACTCAGCAGAACCCATGTCTCAAAGACAGCTGATAAGGGTCCAGCCTGTGACCTGGAGCTGGGAGGGCAGGGCCCTTGCCCACCTCCAAAGCCCTCCACGAAGGGCAGAAGAACAACTAGGGGCAGGGGTGAAGAACAGCCTTCCTGGCCTACCGCAAGCCACCCCAGATTCTCCCAGAGCTGCCAGGGAGTAGAGGTGGGCCCTGACCCCTCCCCCAGGCCACCCTAGCCTCCTTCCCTCCTGGGGCTGGGGGGGAGGGGAAGTAGCAAGAAGGGGAAGTTGCCCGTCCCCATTTGCTTCAGGGCTGCTGCCTGAGCACTGGGCCCTGGCCCCTCAGCTATGGACACCCAAGAGACACCTCTGAAGGACGGGCTGCTCTACCAGCAACATGTGAAATTTGGCAAGGTGGGGACTGATTGGGATTGGAGAGCATCCCCCTCCCTAATGGGACCAAGAATCTGCTGTCCGC